GCTTTTTCCTACTTGCACTCATTGAAAAAGTAGGCCCACGGCTCCATCTTCTGGGGTTCAAAACTACCAGCACCAGGAGTTGCTGTTTATTAAATGCACTGTATTCTGGTACACTTGCGAGAGTAACTGTTGGACAGAAGCTGAAATAAAAAGTACTAGGTTTTATTTTTCAGTGGATGGATTGGTGGAGTAGATTTGTCTGGAGACATTGGTGTAATATTTTGACAATTTTACCTGTTTTAACACTTGTGGGTTTTTTCTCCAATTGCATTAACTGTCTGGAAGTTGAGCAGTTTGTTTCTTTTGATAAGCTACCATAATATATGCAATACGGAGATGCTTGTGTAACTTTTACCCTGTAGAATTATGTTTTTTATACTCATACAGCTGTTGCAGGTAAGAAAAAGGCAAAATATTATATAGCCGGATGGTTCCTCCAAAGATCTCCTGTGGGGAAAGAATAGGCTCCAAGTATAAAAAACCCCTTGACCTCTTTGTTTTCTGTGACATTGAAATACATGACTTCAAGACTATTTTATTAGCAAACGTGACACCTACCTATGAAAGGGTCAGGAGGAGGATCTGGGAAACTAAAGGCCTGTAAGCCTAACCTCGGTTCTGGGCAAGGGCAGGGAGGAGATCATCCTGAGTGTATCACACAGCACATGCAGAGCAGTCAGGGGATCAAGTACAAACTACCTTTATTTGGGATTTATGAAAGGAAGGTCCTGCTTGAGCTACCTGATCTTCTATGACAAAGTGGCCTGCTTGGTGGGTGAAGGGAAGGCTGTGAACATGTTCTGTCGGGACTTCAACAACATATTTCTAGAAAAACTGGCAGCTCGGGGCTTGGATGGGTGGACTGTTTGATGGGGTAAAAACCTGGCAGGATGGCTGAGCCCAAGGAGTCCGTGGCCAGCAGCACTAGGGAAGTGATCATCCATCCCCCTGTGCTTGGCATCGGTGAGGCCACACCTTCAGCACTCTGGTGACTTTCAGAAGGACACTGAATTGTGGTAGTGAGTCCAGTGAAGGGCAGCGAGGCTCATAAAAGGTCTGAAAAACTTGTCGTATGAGAAGCAGCTGAGAGAATTGGATTTGTTTAGCCTTGAGAAGAGGCAGCTCAGGGGTGACCTAGCTGCTTTCTGTGGCTGCCTGTAAGGAGGCTGCAGGGAGGTGGGGGATGCTCTGCTGCCATGCCTGCAGTGTGAGGACCAGAGCCAACAGTCATAAGCTGAGACAGGGGATATTCAGATTCGATGTTAGCTAAAGTTTTTGCACTGTTGTGGCGGTCCGGCACTGGAATAAATTGCCCCGGGAGGTGGAACCATCCCTGGAAGGGTTTTTGGGGC